CGGATAAATATTAAAGTAGTGAAAATAGTAATGCTACTTTGTGTACATTTCACTTAGTGTAGCCCCTTGTTGGGTTTGTTTCGAGTCCCTTCGTGATTGGGGACTCTGTGGTGGTGTACCACCAACCTGGACCTCGGCTCTTGGGGTATGAAGAGGCTGGGAACCATCTCAATCTCGATTCTTCTTGCTAAGGTTGTACTCCTAAGACTGTAGTGGCTGCTATACCTCTTGCCAGTCAAACCGCCATAGCGTCGTCAAATCTTCATGGAATTTCATGATTTAAATTGCTACTAATAGGCAACAGCAACGCAATCCAAATCCAATTTACAGATCACCGTTTGACTCAGCGACCAGATCGGCATCAATATTTGAATCCGTCTAACAGAAATCCGACTATGCTCTCTATCTCTCATTTTAGGCACATCTAAGCCTATTGTGATTATAACAGAATCTCGTGAAAGTTCACCTGATCCTCCATTTTCCCAACGTGATCCATCGTGGTGGCCTCCCCCGGGAGTTTTGCACATCCCTCTTTGAGCACGCCCACGCATCCACATGCAAGAGGCCTTTCCGATCCTCAAATTTCCGACAGTACGACGCTGCGATCATGCGGAGCGCCGTTATGCGCCATGCCATGACTCTGCTGCCAACTGCGTTGGGTGGCCCTGGACACTACGACACGGCGATCGCAAGGGTCAGTCCCAAGGCACTAAAACATCCATGATGTGTCGTAGTGTGTCCTCACTTCCTCCATGTCGTAGTGTGTTGCATCATGGATGTTATCCAAGAGTGATATTGCTTCCATGCGCAGAGAGGGTAGGATCCGCAACTGGGGTTTCCATGAATGTGCGTGTACCCTCCCAGAACCACATAACCAAACCAGGCCTTGGGTCATAACAAGCAAATAATCACAGTAGAATGATCAAGGTTCCAAACGTTCCCGACTAGAGACTAGTTGTTTATCAATGTGACCCCTATGTGGGCTAAAACCCCCCCAAATCAGCCTGTACCCTCCCTGCAAAACCACCCTACCGCAGGCCATGGCCCTTGACAAGCAAGTGCTCACAACCCGGACCATAACGATGCTGCTACCCAGCGCGGCTACTGAGAACCAGCCAGCGTAGCCTGGCGATGCCTTGTGGGCAGCTCTCATGAAGCACCATGGGCCCGGGATGAACGCATTTGTGACAATGCTGCAGTACGCCAACCTACTCAGTCCGAGTGTGAAGGTATGCCAAGCGTTGTTCCAAGCATATTGCAAAGACAAGATGGCCCTCTAAACCACGCGCTTAGGGGTTGGCGTACCATAAACCCGCCCATCTGTACCAACATTTGGGAGTCCTCTCATTGCCTCTTTGACTGCCACCGACACCCTTTCAGTGGAACGTGAGATTTGGGGAAGTGGACTAGTGAGGAAGTGAGCATGGGGGAAATGAGATGTGGGTAAGTGAGTCTGGGGCAAGTGAGCTGGAAATAACTGAGCTTTGGGGAACTAAGCAGGGGGGAAGTGAGCTTGGGGGAAGTGCGCTTAAGAAAAGTGAGCTGGGGGGAAGTGAGCTAGACGAAAGTGAGCTTTGGGGAAGTGAGGTCGGGGGAATTGAGCTGGGGGGAAGTGAGTTGGGGGGATATGAGGGTGGGGGGAGTGAGCTTGCTCAAACTAAGCTTAGGGGGAAATGAGCTGTAGGGAAGTGAGCTAGGGGGAAGTGAGCTAGAGGGAAGTGAGCTGGGGGGAAGTGAGCTGGGTGGGAGTGAGCTTGGGAGTAAGCCTAGGGGAGATCACTTAACCCAAGCTCTCTTCCCCCCAGCTCATATCCCCCAAGCTTATTTCCTCCAAGCTCACTTCCCCCCACGTCACTTCCCCCAAGCTCACTTTCCCCCATCTCACTTCACCCCAGCTCACCTCACACAAGCTAACTTCCCCCCAGTTCACTTTCCCCAACCTCATTTCCCCCAAGAAAACCTCCCCCTAGCTAACTTCCCCCTAGCTCACTTCCCCAGTGCTCACTTCCCCTAAGCTCACTTCCCCCCAACATAGTTCCCCCAATCTCACTTCCCCCCGGCTCACTACCCCCAAGCTCATTTCCCCCAGCTCAATTCCCCCCAGCTCACTTCCCCCAAGCTCACTTCCCCCCAGCTCACCTCCCTCCAGCAAACTTCTCCAAAACTCACTGCCCCCTATATCACTTCCCCTCAGCTCATTTTCCCCCAGCTCACTTCCCACCCAACTCACTTCCCCCAAGCTCAATTCCACCCAACTCACTTCCCCCTAGCTCACTTTCCCCCAGAAAACTGCCCCCAAGGTCACTTCTCCCTCAGTTCACATCCCCCAAGCTCGCTTTACCCTAGCCCAATCCCCCCCAAATCACTTCCCCCAAATCACTTCCCCGAAGCTCACTCCCCCCCAGCTCACTTTCTCACTTCCCCTCGTCTCACATCCCCAACCTAGTTCCCTCCAGCTCACTTCCCCCTATCCCACATGTCCCCGTGTCACTTCCCCCCAACTCACTTCCCCCCAGCTCACTTTCCCCCAGCTCACTTTTCCCCAGCTCACTTCCCCCTAGCTCACTTATACCCAGCTCACTTCCCTCCAGCTCACTTCCCCCCAGCTCACTTCCCCCAAGCTCACTTCCCCCTAGCTCACTTCCCCCAAGCTTACCTTCCCCAAGCTCACAGCTCCCTTGCTCCATTCCACGAAGCTCACTTCCTCCAAGCTCTCTTCTCACTAGCTCACTTCCCCAAAGCTCATTTTCCCCCATCTCACTTCCCCCCATCTCACTTCCCCCCATCTCATTTCCCCCCAACTAACTTCCCCTAAGCTCACTCTCCCCAAGCTCACTTCCCCCCAGCTCACTTCCCCAAACTCACTTCCCGGATAAAATGCCATGATGCCACCAATGTCTTATCATTTGAGCTCCAATATGCCACGTGCAAGAATGTCTAATACCACTGCTTTCCACTTGCATGTTCATGTGTCCAACACAGGTGCACACCGCAATAGCTTTGCCCCCAAGAGAAGACTTCGCAGCACACTATGCACGTGCTGCTCTGAGTTACCATGGGGCACCCAGCTTCTCCTACGTGTCAATCATTGGGAAAGAGGATGGGCATATGGGGGCGGAAATCGTCACGACCTGGTACACACAACTTATGCTTCTATTTCACGTGGAGGTCATTGTCAATGGGGATGTGCAGCAACTGCCCTACGCATTCGTTCGATACCACGAGGCCGGAGAAATAGACAGCTCCACTTCTTGCATGCTACTGCACGAGGTGCAAGGAGATCTGAAGCACCAACTGGTGGAGGCAAAATCAATTATTAGAACTCTGCATGTGGTTCGCTCGTTCAAGCGCCGCTCCCTGTCATTCCTAAACAAATTCGGTGCTGAGTAATCGATGATAGTCATCATAGTTTTGTACATTGCATACATAAATATGTATCGTCAAACATAAATCCTACTTGGCCCATGTTAACTCTTCATAACAAATGACGGCCTGGTGCCCGAGCTTGAAACAATGACACGGGGTCAAATTAGCGCTCCCACGAAATAATAGCGACGAGGTCACATAAAATGTGGAATGATACTACAAATATAAGGCCTTAAATGTACCATATTGCAATCCCTAACAAAGAGGCGCATTTGGTGTGCTTGTAAGCTGATTCGTGTCAAGGATTGAAAAAAGTGATGAATCAAAATGGAATACAACAACTCCACCCATATGAATATACGCAAATCTGTTAACCTCATTTCATGTTCCACATTCCAGGTATGCACACGGAGACAGTTAGCAGGGCAAACTCAAAACCAGCAAAGGGTAGCCTGTTGGACGCGCAAGGCTCGGAATTCAATTCCAGCCTCGGTTTGGTCGCTGAGTGTCGACCAATACGCGAATCGATGCGCCAGGTTGGGATTCGAACTGCACAACCAGCGAAACATACGGAAGAGTCAAACATCCCCCAGAAAATACGACAAACCTACCCTCACACCTGCCTCTCACATCCTGCGAACATACGTCACGGAAAGGTGACGTTCCCCAGCATACGTCACCCACCATTTCATTTTTGGGATGAGGCAAGGCGGAGAGGCGAGGCGTCCTGGCGAGGCAGAGAGGCGAGGCGGAGAGGCGAGGCGGAGAGGTGAGGCGGAGAGGCGAGGCGAAGAGGTGAGGTAGACAGGCAAGGCGGAGTGGCGAGGCGGAGCGGCCAGGTGGAGAGGCGAGGTGGAGAGGCGAGGCGAAGAGGCGAGGCATCCTCGCGAGGCGGAGAGGCGAGGCGGAGAGGCGAGGGAAGGGTAGGAGGCAAGCCAGGGATTGGAGGAGATGAAAAGCGGTGAGGAGGAGAGGTGAGTATGAGAGGGGAGGAGGAGAGGTGAGTATGAGAGGGGAGGAGGAGAGGCGAGGCAGAGAGGCGACGAGGATACGAAACGAGGATGGGGGGAAGGAGGAGAGGTGAGGAAGAGAGGTTGGGATTAGAGGAGAGGAGGAGAGGCGCTGGGAGGTGAGGAGGGGAGGTGGGGATTCTTGCCCTTCCCATCCACCCTGAATCTTCCCATGCCTCGCACCTCCCTTTCCCCATCTCACTCGTCCTCATCTCCGTTTCTCCTCCACCCTCCCCTCCCCGCAAAACGTACAAAAGAGCTGGCCTGGCGTACACGCTCTCAGCGCAGTTAGCCTATCTGCTGTAACGAGCCAACACGAGGGTGGGAGGGACGGCAACAGATAGCGCTGGGCTCGACTCTGTGGTACGCTCTGTGCATTGGCTACTCCTGTTCCCGCTTTCACACGAAAAGCCCATGTTTCCTTACGTTCCGATGACTCTCATCTGTTTGTTTGTTTGTCATGTCATAGTTTTTTTGGTTTGTTTTGTTTTTGTTTTTTTTTTTCGCATTTGCCTGTGCTTGCTCACGTGAACGCAATATTCTGAACCTCCGTTTCCATCTAGTTTCATTTTCTTCCTCCCCCCTCCCCCCCCTTACAGTGCAGCGTTACCTCCTCCTCTTCCTCCAACCCTCCGCCCCACCACGCTCTCCCCCCTCATCACCCCACACTCCCACCATCACACCCCTCTTCTCACCTCGAGGACAGCAGCAGCAGCAGCAGCGGCAGCTCCCTGGTGCTGCCTGCGCCGCACTCGGGCCCCTTTATGGAGGGACGGGAGTGCGAGACGCCCACTTTCAGAGGCAGGGGGGTGCCAAAAAACGATAGAGGGGGAGGGGCAGCGGCTGCTGTTGCTAGTGCTGCTGCTAGCACTGCTGCTGGGGCTGCCACTGTTGGAAGCCCTACTGCAGCTGCGGGCAGCCAGGCGTTGACCGACTTATGTCGGTGCACCAGTTGCCTGGCAGCTGCGGGTTGGCGTGACCAAGGTGCATGGACTATCCATTGCGTCCGAAGACTATGTCTAGTTTGTGCGGACTAGTCCGGAGATGCTCACGACGACCAGTGACTCTGACGAGTCATAAGTAGTCGTGGCTATCGCGATGGTTTTTCGTGAGGAGCAAGGCAGCGTTTGCCTTGCTGGTTGGAGTTGCTTACACGGCAAACCCAACCTTGCTGAGTTGGGTTGGAGAATTGGGCGAGGCGCGTTCGCCCAACCCTTCGGCAACTTCGGGGTGGTTGGTTACACCCACAGCGCCACGCAACTTTGGTTGGGTTTGCACTTGCCTATATATTTGCATGCTTATTTGTACTTTGGACATATGTTTCTAGTGAACTTCTACTCTTCTCGAATTTCGACCAAGTACTTTAAGGCAAACTCTGCCCAACTGCCACCAGTGCCTAGCACGCTATTCGAATAGTGTTACTCTGCCGAAATCGCTCCACACTTTCCCAGCACTCTCGCTTTAGCATTCCTTCATGGTGCAGTGAGCGTGGAACGAACACGCTCGCGTTATCGATTTTCACCGTCATCGATCTACTACGTTCGTTCGTTCGTCTTGGAGGCTGCAGCTATAGCAGAGGACTATCGTTGGTGTAAGTTGCGATTTATTTAATTTCCCTCCAGTTATGTTCTCGGACCCAAGGATAGGGCTTTTGGTATTTACTTACCATTCGCCTGAGGACCCTTGTGAGGTGACCCCGAGACGAGGGAATTAAGTAAATAGCAGTTTATACTAGCTGATAGTTGGTCTGTAGAAAAGCCGTGTAATGGCGAACGCGGAGGAGGAGAATGTTGACGTCACTGAACTGCACGAGCTAGAGGAGATTCTGCACACGCGTCATTCTGGCGGAGAGATTAATGACGAGGATTATGAGCTAATGCTGGAAGGGATTCGAGCGAGGTGGCGACGTGACCACCCTTCTTTTCCGGTAGCGGAGAACGCTCAGGCTGGAATTCCGCAAGGTGCGTCAGTGACGGCTAGCGACGATGAAGATAGAGCTATTGTGGCGAGCGAGCGGCGTTTCGCTCGTGGCGTTCTAAGAGGAAACGTACGCGGTAGCACTGCTAGTATGGGTGGCGTTCAGGAGCATGTGCATCAAGCGGCAGCATCGCGCGAGCGCGACGAGATAGGGCGGCGAAGCGTTGTTGGAGGAGGACATGTAGAGGAGCGCGATAGTGACGTTATGCCTGGCTTTATACCGCAAGGCTCTGCGGTAAGAGACGTCGGGATAGCTCCTGACTACGGCTATTTTAAATTCACTCCAGACAAGATCGCCATGCCTAGGCCGTTAGAAGGGCGTCACGACCTGTCATCTTGGGTAGAATCGATTGAGCCCCAGCTCGAGATAGCTCAGCTCAAACGCTTTATCGACTGCTCCACTCCTACTCCTACGAAGCACGCAGTAGCACTCCTCTCGCAATTCCGAGCTGCTCAGTTACTGACGTTTACGACCATTTCTCGTTGTTGCTCCCCCCAAGTTCAAGTCGCCCTTAAAGCATGTCGCTTGAAGGTAGATGCCGGGTTGCAAGCCTGGCAGTTCATCATGCGAACGTACATGGCGAAGGATGATTTGTATCTAGGTCAGTTAGAGCAAGCGCTCACTAACCTCGAGATGGGCGAGCACGAGTCCGCCACGTCTTACTGCAACCGTGCACAGCAGCTTCTCATAAATCTTAGAATGGCCGGCGTAGAATACTCGCAGGCGTCGTACATTACTCACGTCGTAAAGGGGTTACCGCAGTAGTATAATCTCTTACGTCGTATGCTGAAGCTGCCGCAGGTGCGCGGCGAGTTAGACGACGACACCCTCGCTAGTTACATAATAGAAGAGGAATGTACTTTGGCGGCAGAAGGGCGAAAGGACTTCTTCCCTCCCGAGGCAAACCTGACCTTCCCAAAGAGGTTTGGCAAGCCATCATTTCTCCCAAAGCAAGAGGCGCTTCCTGCCCCTTCCCCATCCACTCGTGTGCAACAGCCATCGGCGAAGCAGTCAAACGGGGGTGGAGAAGGAGAGGGGAAGGGAAAAGGGGCGAAGGGGGAAGTGCAGAAAGAGGGGAGAAAGCCTTTCAAGGGGAAATGCTATTCGTGTGGCCAGCCAGGGCATGTCGCTTTCCATTGCCCAGAGCGCAAGGACAAGGTAGCGCAGAAGGGGCAAGGGAGTGGGGGTGGCGGCAACTGCAATGAGAGCAGTAGTTCAGGGGGCGGAGGGCAGTCCACCTGCGCGATGGTGGAACCAATCCTAGCGCAGCAGTCTTCGATCTTATTGGAACTGGAGGCCGGGGAAGGCTTGCAGGCTGTTGCAGCTGCTGTGAAAGCCAACCCGAGTGTTGTGCTTTTGGACAGTGGATGTTCCCACCACTTGATGGGAGATCGGGCGGCGTTTGTGGAGCTGATTAATGATAGTTCCATCAGCCAGGTTCGCGGGTTCAACAGCGCGATACAGCCAGTACAAGGGAGGGGCACCATTGCTCTCCTTGGAGAGGGAGGCAAGCGTGTCTTGGTACCAGTCGTGCTGTATGTGCCGGGGTACAGGCTAGTCTTCTCTCCTCAGGGCAGTTGCGGGATACCGGAGTGCAGCTGTTGGATACAGGGGAGCGGACACTCATGCGTGCACCTGATGGATCCCTTCTGGGGCGTGCGGAATTCAAGGGGCGAGTGCTGTGTACTGACCTCAAGTCGTGGCTTGCTGAGCGTGCTGTGGGCGAGACTGTGGCACTTCGGGCGTTGGCCTCCGGCATGCGGTCATCTGCTGACATGTGGCACGCTCGCCTCGCCCACGTTGGTGTTGACACCATTCGGCGTACTGCAGCTCATGGGTCAGTGATGGGCTTGGAGCTGGAGAAAGGGGGAAAGTCGGGACTGCCTTGTGTTTCTTGTGTGGGGGGGAAAATTACCCGTCATACGTTCCCTCCCATGGGTGGCGAGGAAGATGAGGTGCTTGGAGTTGTGCATGCAGACCTCTGCGGACCCTTTCGGGAGCGGGCCAAGGATGGGAGCCGTTACTTCCTGGTGCTGAAGGATCGGAAGACCCGGTATGTTTGGGTCTACACGCTGGCACAAAAGAGTGACGCTTTGGCTGCCTTCGAGAAGTGGCTGCCCTTGGCGGAGCGGCAGTGTGGGATGCAGATGAAGGCGCTGCACTCCGACCGTGGCGGCGAGTTCCTGGGCGCAGCATTCACTGCCTTCCTCGACCAGCGCAGCATCGAGCATGACCTCACCTGTCCCTACACGCTGGAGCAGAATGGAATGGCGGAGCAGGAGATGCGGAGCATTGTGGAAGCTGTATGGACGATGCTGCTGCACATGGGTGTGCAGCACCACTGGTGGCATCTGGCGGTGGTGCAGGCAGTCTGCGTGCACAATCGTGTGGAGCACGCCTCTCTGTCCGACGGCGTCACCCCGTATGAACTCGCCTTCAGTCGTAAACCTGATGTTAGTATGGTGCGCATCTGGGGCTGCATGCTGTAGTACATGGTGCTGCAGTCTCAGCATGGGGGAAAGCTCGCACCTAAGGCTCGCTGGGGGTTGCACTTGGGTGTGTCTGCAGTCAGCAAGGGATGGCATGTTTTGGACTTGGAGTCCAATCGCCTGGTCACCACTTCGGAGGCCGTCTTTTATGAGACGATGTCCCTTGCTGGGTGGAAGGCATGGCATCAGCAGGAGCATGCTGGGCGACCACTGTCCTATGAGCCCCTCCCTTCCCTCTTCCCAGATGTGCTTTCGGAGGAGGTTGAGGAGGCGGAAGCGGTTGTCCCTCCTGCCCTACCCTTTGTGCCCATCTCTGTGCCGACCCCTTTCCCTTCCTCCGTGTCTCCTCGGGTCGCACCTCTTGCCCCACCCGCTCCTCCTCCACCACCTCCCGCATCTCCTCCCTCTTCCTCTTCCCCTTCTATTATCCCACCTCCTCCTAACCCCTCCCTCCCTCCTGCGTCACCCTCCCCTTCCCCTCCGCCGGCGCTGCTCGTCGGTGAGGGGGGTGTGTTGGAGCCTCCGTCTCTTGTGCCCACCGACGGACAGCTTCCGACTGCGGCGCAGCAGTGGGAAATGGGAGTAAGGGGAGAGCTGATGGAGCTAGTGGGCTTACAGCAGCAGGGTGAAGGAGATTCGCAGTAGCTGGGCAAAGGAGACCAGCAGCCGCAGAATGAAGGAGAAGGGGGAGAGTGGAGTGGCAGTCGCGTATTGGCTTCAGGAACCATTACTCCGGACTTGCGTCGCTCTACCCGCATTACGAGGGGAGTTCCGCCAGTTCGTTATGCATGGGCAGTGGTGGTTGAGCCGGGACTGGATGATGCCGACGAGGATGAGGAGTGGACTGAGCTTGATCCGGATGTGGAGACAGACCCGGAGAGACAGTGGGACATTGGGAAGATGACAGTGCCTGAGGCGTTGGGGTGCTGGAAAGGCGACCGTGTCGAAAAGGCAATGGATGAGGAGATGCGGATGTTACTTGAGCAGGAGACTTGGGAACTCGTAACACCACCACCTGGGGTGAACATCATGAAGAATCGTTGGATCCTGAACACCAAGTACCGGCCGGATGGACGTGTGGAGTGAGAGAAGGCGAGGCTGGTGGTCAAGGGGTTCACTCAAGTGGCAGGAGTGGATTATGAGGAGACCTATGCGCCTGTGGGGAGTTACGTGACAGCGCGCATACTGCTGGCAGTGGCAGCTGCATTGGATATGGAGCTGATGCAGCTGGATATGAAGAACGCATTTCTTCACGGTGTGCTGGACAGAGATCTCTACATGGAACAACCCAAGTATTACGAGGATGGGACTCCTCGTGTCTGCAAGCTGCTAAAGAGCCTGTACGGACTCAAGCAGAGCCCGATGCTCTAGTATGAGGCCTTGGATGG